CCGCCCCGCCCGCTGGTTGTCTCTCCGGGGCTGTCCTGCCCGTCGAAGGCCCGAGGCGAGAGTGGGAAGGCGGGACCTCCCGTGCCCTGCCCCGGCCGCTGTGCTCGCTAGCCCCTCAGAGCCCGGGTCTCTTCATTGGTGAGGCGGGAGGCGTGACGCACCTGGGGACCCCGCTCTGCGGGCTGAGCGTGCGACGTTCGGAGGCAGCACGGCGCTCGGCCGTCGGCCTCCTGAAGTTTCCGTGGATGCGCATGACCTTTGGAGAGGTGTTTGCCCTCGGGCGCGCGCTCGGGAAGACAGCACCCTCTGCCGGGGCGCAGCCCTGCCCCTACTCCTGCTCTCCTGTCGGGGCTCGGGGCTCGCACATGCACTCTCCAGCGTGTTTTTCAGGCTGTGGGCTGAGACAGGCCTGGCTGACCGTGTGGGACCTGCCCCCTCACCTGCTGTGCCGCAGGGCTGGCCGCACACACAATTCCTTCGTCTTTTTCCTTTTCCTTTTCTAGAGAGAAGTTTTTACTGTAAGGCACACGGGCCTGCTGGAGACAGACAGGGAGAAATCGCCCCGGGGGATGGGCACACCACAATCCCTTCTCCCTTCTCTAAGGATTTTGGGCACGCACAAACCTCTGGGTCCAGGGCTCGAACCACGGTTGTTCACGTGGGAGCCCAGTGACATAACCATTATGCCATCTGCTGGGCCTATAAATGGTTTCTTACGGCAGCCCTGGATCCTGTCAGAGGCAGGACTTGGAGGTTAGGGAAGCCCCTCTATGTCCAGGCTAGGGGGTGGTGTCGGCTGGACAGGGTCCTCTTGCTGCATGCCCAGCTCCCCGAGGACTAGTGCCAGAAACAGCAGCCCTCGCCGTCTTCTGACCCTGGTGCACCAATACAGCTGGGCGGGTCTCCTGAGGCTGCACTTGGGGTCTTGGGGTCTCGTAGCAGTCACACTCAGGGCCGGGGTGGAGCGGGTGCGTGCTCACATGTGCTGCCCCTCGGGGTGGACTTCCCTGCGCCCCCCCCATCTCTGCACAGTCTGGCCGGGACGTCTGGGAGGGCACAAGTCAAAGCCGCGTCCTTGAAGCAAAAGCCTAGCCATGGGGCAGCACTGCAGGCAGCAGGGCTGACCAGACCAGGGCCTGTCTGTCCCCTCGCCCCACGAATGTGCTGGGTTCACCAGAGGCAATGTCCGCCAAGCCACACCGCGAGAGGGCGCTCAGGAAACGGACCTCCAAACCCCGCCAGCGACTGTAACCCCAGGCCCCAAGCAACCCCCTTGCCTCTAGGGGGCCGGTGTTCCGTGCCGTAGCTGACACGTCCACTGAACGCAGGACCGTGGCTGGCAGTGGCCGCGCTGTCACACGCTGGGGCGCCAGGCGGTGCCTTCCCTCACGCGCCTCCTCCCCTCTCCTCCCCACAGCGCCCCCCGGAGCAGACACAAAGGCAGCCATGGTCACGCCTGCTGTTGCCGCTCGGGATGACATGCGTGGGAGAAGAGACGGCGCGGGCACCGGATCGCCAAGCTCGGGTCCGGGGAAGGGCCGGCCCAGGGAAGTGGGCCCCTCCTCAGAGAAGAACACCAGTGGCACCAGTGTCCCCAGCGCCCCCGTCATCCTGAGCCCCCCGCAGACCCCCACGGCGGACTCGTACACCCTGGCGTGGAGGACAGGCGGTGACGGCGGGCCCCCCATCAACGCCTACTTCGTGAAGTACCGGAAGGTGACTCCCCGCCCTGTTGGTCGTGCGTACCATTGGCACTGAGGGATGCAGGGGCCAGGGAAGAGTGTTCCAGAATGAGCCATTGGTCAGACACCCCCGGCGTGCTGAGCTTACCAGTCTTACAGAGCAGGGAGAGCAGAGAGGGAATATTCCGCCGCAGACTGGGACTCGGAGACCCGGTGGGCGCCAGCTGCTGGCCAGAAAGCTCTGGAAGGGCTTCGTGACTGCAGTTCGTCCCCTGAGACAGTAGAAGACAGCGCTTAGCCAAAAAACGGCTTCTTCTTAGAAGCAACTGTTTTATTTTTAATTGCCAGCGAGCCTGTGCGCTCAACAAGGAGAGGAGAGAAAAAAGCACCCCCGGGGGCCGTGGGGCTGCCTTCCCTTCTCCATCGCACCGTCCTGTTGAGCTGGGGGGTGGCATGCACATGGGCCTGGCATGTTTCTCAGGCTGCTGGGGCCAGGGTTTGAACCATAGTTGGCTGTGTAGGATCCAGCTCCCTTGCGCAGTGGGTTACAGGGACAGCCCTCCTTGAACAAAGCCCCTGGCATCTCGGTTGGCTTCCTCCGTGCGTGGCTTCCAGGTTTGGGCCTTCATTTTGGGGCTCGTGCCAGAGCACGTGGGAGCCTCCTGTCCCCGTCCGGGAGGCTCTTGTGGAACCAGGTGGGGCCAGCGTCCTCATGTTCGAAGCGGTTTTTGCCCGGAGCGCTGTGGAATAGCGAGGGGAAGGGCCGGCGTGGCGATGATTCCGTGGGGAGCCTGCCTCTCGCTGTAGCTGACCCGCCCTAGACTTCGTGCGGTCTCTGGTTAGAGTCACCGAGAAACAGCCAACGAGATCTTTAACGCCGCTGTCACACGTACCGAGCAGGGTTAGGACGGGCGGCAGGCAGGGTGTGGTGCGTTGACAGACCTGTGTACACCGTCACGCGTGTCCTCGGCTTGCTTTGCAGTCCACGTGTTGCATAGTGTTAACACAGGAAGGCACTCGCAAGTCGGGCACAGCGGGATTCGGGTACCAGCACGTTTGGGTGCACACGTGTGCCGACGTCCATGCTGGCGTGTTCGCAGTGCGCGTTCCTGTGGCCCCTGTGGACCCCTGGCCCGGGTTACCGTTGCTCAGCGTACCCTCCGTTAGCCCGGGCAGAAAGGCGCAGTCCTCTGCCTGGTGGGGGCAGGAGTGTGCGGTGCGGCCGAGTTCCCGCTGCTCCGCAGCCTCACCCATTGCTCAGCGTGGAGGAGCCTGTGTCCGCACCGCGGCTCAGCGCACCCTGACCCTGTTGGTGAGGGACGGGCCCTGCGGACGGGAGGCCGGCTGTGTGCCCCGCCCTGAGCAGGCTCTGCCTTTCTCCCGAGCAGCTGGACGACGGAGCTGGCGTGGGCAGCTGGCACACGGTCCGAGTCCCGGGCAGTGAGAACGAGCTCCACTTGACGGAACTGGCCCCGTCTAGTCTGTACGAGGTCTTGATGGTCGCAAGAAGTGCCGCCGGCGATGGGCAGCCCGCCATGCTCACCTTCCGCACCGGCAGAGGTGAGAGCCTGTGCCCCAGCCTCCCAGGTAGCCAGGCCTGTAGGTGGGTGCCCGGGGCCTCGCCTTTTCACCTGGTCCAGGGTTGGACGGGCTGTGTGGACGCCCAAGCCTGAGTGAAGGCTCCTTCAGAGAGCAGCGTCTCGTGCATACGAGCTCTCCAGCCCCTGCCGCAGCACCGGCTGCTTGGCCGCCCTGGCAGCTCGGTTAACTCAGTGTGTGGGTACCCAGCCGAGTGAGAGCCGTGGCTGGGGCAGGCACCCCCGGAAGGCAGAGGCGGTCACGGCAGGCTGCCCAGTGGAGCCTGCTCTGAGGGCGTGCTGCACACGAGCCCCGACTGCAACGCAGTGGCGCATCGGCTAGTGTCCACCGAACACCGTGACCTGTTAGGCAGGTCCCCACGTAGACCAGCCTCCTTGTCCTCACGGGGTCGTGTCTGGTTAGGAGGGACTTTTACCGAGTCAGAACGTACAGGAAGTGGCGAGTATTAACGGCAAGCCATGGGTGGGCACGGGAGGTGTACAGGCAGGGATGTTACTGTTTGATTTGTTAATTTCTTTCACGATGGAGGCAGAGACAGGCACCCCAGCAGGTCCTCCTGCCGCAATGCACCCTCTAAGCTGACCCGGGGGGCAGGCGTGCACACAGCCCTGTGTTCAGGGAAGCTCTGGGACACGAACCTGGAACCTTACCCTGGGCCCTAGCACTGCTCCCCCACCCCTTAGCCCTGGGAGCCGTGGCAGTGCAGGTAGTGGACGTCCTAGGGGACCAGGCACAGCAGAGTGGGGACTCGGGACGTGGGAAGCCATGGCCTCCCTGGGCAAGAACGTTCCTGGCGGAGAGAAGCAGGTGCTGCAGACCCAAGGCCCTGAGGGCAGGCCAAGTAGGAGCCTGCGGGACGGTACCTGGGGCGAGAGCGCCGCCTTCAGTCTGCCGACCCCTGGCGCTGGTGGCTTTGCTGCTGACGAGGCGGAGGGCTGGGTGCTGTCCGCCCAGGGCCAGCACTCTGGTCCACCTTACCAGGCCACGTCTGGAGAGCCTGCAGGAGGGCCAGGCGTGGGCAGAGACAGCACGCAGCCAGCCTTGGGGCCGGGGCTGCAGGGAAACAACAGGCTGTGGCAGCCGGCCAGGGCCTGGCTACTGGGCCGCGCGGCCGGGCCGTGAGCAAACGCAGACATGAGCGGGGAGCAGGGCTTGTGCGGAGGGATGTTTAGCGGACACCGTCGAGAGGGGGCGGAGGGGTGGAAGATCGCCTGTCGGCTTTGGAAAAGCCCCTCCGCCTGCATGCCAAGTCTGCAGAGCCGGGACCCTGGGCTCTGAGCGCGTCTCAGTCCAGCTTCAGCCCCTTGCTGACAGAGGCCGGCCGTCAGTCCCAGCTAACGAGCATGTGGTTCGGCGTCTGCAGTTCCCCGGGCCCTGGTGGCACAGTGGTGCACACCTAGTCTGCACAGTGAAGGTTCTGGGCTCGCGTCTCAGCCCTCCCTGAGCAGGCTGGGCGTGCGTGTGCCTGGCGCTGGGGGGTCACGGGGGAAGACCTGTTGGGAGTGCATCCCCGTGGGATGATTTTTCTTTTTAGTTTTTTTAAGAGATTTTTTGCTATAATGCATGTGCACTTGCCAAAGAGACTAAGAGGGATAAGAAGGGAGAGGTTCAGCCTCGGGGAGTCGGCCATGCCACAGCCCCTTTTCCCCCTCCTCTCTGGAGTTTGGGCACACACGCACACACACCCTGCATGAGTTTAAACCTACCGGGTCCGAGTCGTGAACCCTAGTCAGCTACATGGGAGCCCAGCGATGAAACCATTATGCCACCTGTTGGTCCTGGAATAATTTTTCTTTTTCTTTTCTTTTTTTTTCTTTAGAATTAGTTTATTTAACTTTATTAATTTTTAAAATTTATTTTAATTTAACCAAAAAGGGACAGAGTGAAAGAGAGAGGAAGCACAAAAGCAGGCAGTTCAGGGACTTGAACTGAGGTCGGCACGTGGGAGTCCAGCGCCCTCGACCACCGTGTCGCCACTGGCCCCCAGAATATTTCTCTCCCATCAGCCCATTGCACTTTGGTTGCTTGAAATGTTGAAACCGGACGTGACGGTGTCCCCGTGGAGAAGCGGGCAGATGCTCGTCAGTTTGCGTTTGGTGGTTAAGAAACCTGTACAGTGGGAGGCCCGGCCCAGTCGTCTGCAAACCTTCCCATCTGCGGCTGGCCTTCCTTGGTGAAGTCAAGTTAGTCACGTTCCAGTTGCCCTGAAAGACACTAGAAAAGACAGTCATTTCTGTGAGCTCCCCGGAAAGGTCGCGTGCTTACAGCAGTCCCTCAGTTGCATGCGTTAGTGTCCGTGTGGCTGTGTTTTACTCTGTATGTACAGGTAGGGAATGCATATTTGACATGTAAGTGACACTGTGCATGAATGTATTTATAATCGCACACGCGTGTACAGCTGAGGTCACAGGATGTGTCTTGCACCACTTCTAGAGAAAACGCCATCCACAAAACACACGCAGGCGTCCTCTGCCCCCGTGGGTACCCCGGAGCATCCTGCCGTCTCTGAGGCCGCACACAGCAACTTCGGAGTGGTGCTCCCGGACACCTCCAGGCACAGTCGAGGTAACGGGGGCCGCCGCGCACCACTCTGTCGGGCACAGGCGTAACGGGACGGACCAGCTGCGGGTGTTCGGGGCGGGGTGCAGAGGGCGGCACTCGGACCACGTCTACGCACAGCTGCCTGGGTCCCGTCCTCTTCTGATGGCCCGGGCAGCTCAGGGTCAAAGGGCCTTGGTGCGGACGTTGTGTAAGTCAAGGAAAGAGCTCTTCTGTTAACTCCCTAGTAAGAAAACAAAATACTGTTAGTTATGCAAGTCTAACTGTTTTAGGTGATGTAGACCCTTGACACTTAGAAAGGCAAGTGAGATGCCACTGTTGAGGGGCCAGCAGGTGGCTCACCAGTGACTTTGCTGGGATCCTGCACAGTCGACCACAGGTCGAGTCTTGGACCCCAGGCCTTTAAACTCATGCTGGGCACGTGTACATGTGTGCCTCAAATCCTGAGACGGGGATGGAAGAAAAGGGATTGCGGTGTGGCCACCCCTCCTGGGGGGTGATGTCTCACTTTCTATCTCTGTTTCTCTTTCTTCCTCTCTGGCGAGTGCATGTACCCAAAAGCAAAAATCCCTCTTTAAGAAATAAGTTAACGTCACTGAGAGAGTATACTCTGAGGGTCGCGACGGCAGGCGCGGCACCCCAGCAGTCTCGGCATTAAACAGCTGTTTAACTAACCTTTCCCCCTTCCGTCCCTGCTGCCTGCCAACGGAGGAGCACGGTGAGTACCACGCTGCCGTGTACGTGACTCTCCTGAGCCCTCGAGCACCGCATGTGAAGTGGCATGGTTTCTCCGTACAGGCCACGCCCGGTGCTCTGCCCTCACCCGCGTGTGTCGGTGTCCGTCCCACGGGTGGACACGTGCTCAGCTGGAAGGGCGCTCTGGGCCTTGAGCCGGCTCGCGCTGGCAGGGACTGCGGGTGCTGGTGTCCACCAGAGCGGCGTTTACGACTCGCTGTGTCAGCGCTGCGAGCCGGGCGGCTCCTCGGCGTCTCTCCTGCGGGCACCCAGCGGCAGTCGTGCTGTGCAGTCAGCTGGGCAGGTGACGAACCGCTGGGGGCCGGGTTTAAACGGCTGAGGACTGAGGGCGTTCCCGCCTGCCA